CCTGGGTGGCGGCCCGGATAAAGATAACCCCCCCCCCCCTTTTTTTTTTTTTTTTTTAAGATCACGGTGCCAGGTACGTGACGATAAATCCTATTCCTGGAATTAATGAGCCCAGCACCAGTAGGATGTTTTGATACTACAAGCTATGAGGCATTGTCGTTACAGAAGGAGAAGTGGGCCCTTGCGTAGGGAAGCAGGGTGACCGAGGAGAAATAGGGTCAAGTGCAGTAGTGTAAGATACGAAGTTATGCTCTTGCAAACTACTGACAGAAATTTCGAATTGGTCAGTCCTGGTGTGTAACAGGAAGGATTTAAATGGAAAACACTTGCGAGTGCTATTTGGTTATAGGCATATAGCCTATATGGTGCTAGCCTGCCTTTACGGTGATACTGCTGTGAGAAGGGCAGTCCTGAAATGCATCAGAAGGATAGTCTCTGCTGCTGCTGTAAGGTGGGAATCTGAATCAAAGAAGCTAGAGTAAACCCCGAGGAGGTGCAGAAACGGGTTACTAAGGATGAGAATGGCAAGTGGCTGCCAAAGGGTGACTGTAAGAATTTGGCTTGTTTGGCCTAACAAAGATGATATGATGAAGTGTTGATAGATAAATGCTTATCTCCTGGCTCCTTAGCTTATAAGTCAATGTAAAACAGGAACACAGGATAGAAACTGGCAGTGAATATCTTAAGTTTGAAAACTTTTTAAATACTTAATTCATTTGTCTGTAATATTTTATGAGGCAGAGGGGAAGACGTCTATCTACTTTAAAAATGAAGCTAGAGATCAGTTCATGTAAAGGAGATGATTCTGTGGATTCCTGTGATACCAGGGACGCTGCACTCGGCGGTGGCCTGGAGAAGGAAGCTATCCTTTCCAGGCCTGTTACCCTAACGCAGGTTTTACGTAAGCTCAGTATTTTTGACAGTAAGAATAACTGTACTTCTCTCCCTGTTACTTGCTAAAGAAATATGTAATCTCCTGCTCACGAAAAATATTTTAAATAGTTGGCTATGGTATACTGCAACCATATTTCAAATTAATCCTTTGGAGTAAATCTTTCTGTTGCTGGGAGGCAACCTCACCAAGTTCACCTTGACTAAATCAGTAGCACGGAGTATTACTTTCTCTTTTCCATGTTGATACAAGCCCTGTCCAAATGTCAGTATTCCATGTAATCTGCGTTGTGATACGTTAATCAAGCAAATATCTAACAGTAATTGTGGAGGGGGGTTACTGTGTAACCATGGGAAGTAAAATCAGAAGGAGAGGACTTGTGAAAATGTCTGAAATATGACTGGCCAGCCAGATTTCTGTGAAGAGCTAAGGTTAACCATTTAGAGCCAGGAGGACTTTGAAGTTAGTCAAAATAAGATTAGCGTCTGGTTGAGGTTACTTGGATGTGTAGAATATCTTTCAGCTTGTCACAACAAATCTGTTGTGATCTGTGCCTCAAAATCTATATTCCATCTGTTAAAAAAGCGTCTTACTCATGTTTTTATAAAGCCTTTAAACACTTGGCATTATTTTACAGCTTAGTTCTTTTACTGAACTATTACATGAATTGAAGTGTGATTTATTAAGGTCTGTGGATGCCCTTATCAAAGCATGTTATTAGGCATCTAGACAATTGGTGGAAATTTAGCATTTGGATAGTTTTGAAAAATCTGACTGTGGTTTGCCTGTTAAGTGCCTAACCGTATTTGATTGCACTGTCATCTGATGGGTCATGATGTTAAGTGTTATACGCTTAAAATAACTTCTTGCTTATTCCTAAGTAATGCTAATTGCTGTTTACTGAGCTGATTGATTTCTTCGACAATGAAGGATACCAAGCCTACTTTTTAATTAAAAGGCAGATCTTTCTTTCTGAAGACTGTTTGGGGTGTGATCAAAGTGTTTCGGGGTGAATTTGAGTTTTAAAAAAAATAATTTGGAGGTGGCAGGACTGAAGCAACTAGATTTTTGAACCATGTTCCTCGCTTCTGGGCAATGGCTCTCTAAGGTGCAAAAATGATCACAGTAACTATTCAACGTTGTCAAGCAACAACGCCGTGCTATTTTGAAGTTAATTTGAGACTGAGTTAGTGCTATCTAAATTGAGGCGTTGAACCCACAGACACAAGGGAGATAAAACAGGCCCCTTTCCGAATGGCTTGTCCACGAGAAAATCTGCTGCCTATGCAGAAGGCTACTTAGAAGGGCAGAGGAAAGTTAAACCTTACATGAAAAATCTTACATGAAAACTCCCTGGATGGAGAATTATTCCAGAGGTTTTTTTTGGTAAAATGGAAGCTGGTCAGCTTCATCAAGAGACTCTGAACTTTTTGAGTATGATATAAAGTAGCAGGACTGAGTATGTGGAAATAGAACTGAAATACTGCTTGAAGGGAATGCTATATTTTGCATAGACTATCTTAGATTGAATGATGGTTTGAGGGAACACAAAATCTTTGAAGTATCTCACTAATCCAGTTTGTGATATTTCCAAAGGGTAAAAGAAAGGAATGCTCCGAAAGCAAGATAAAAGTAGTTCTGAACAGAGTTTTTAGGTTAGGGCCAGCTATACTGAGAAAATCAGTAAAAATCAGCATTTCACCACGTACTCTGCTAACTCTCAGTGTCATCTTGCTGAGGAGATCAGGTGTGGAGCCCAAGCAGGGCATGCTCCAGTAATTCTTACCTGAATAATGATCTCAGGGATGACACCGTAGGCTGTTGTACCTGGCGCTGGGGACTCAGTTGGCCTCCTAGTCAGGCTTAGGAGACTGTAAGTAGACTTACAGCTGAGCAGCGGGTATTCCTTTTGCTAATAGTTTACTTCTTATTTTTTTTGGTTAGAAGAGGTGCCTGATGTTTTGACTGACTGAAAGATTTCAGATAGGAGATGTCTAGAGGGGTGTGCTTTGCCTGGTTTCCCTGGCTGTGTCCTCAGTAGGAATCAGTTTTATGTTGAGCAATCTGGACAATCCTATTAATGTGTCCTTATTTTATTTTGGGGGGGGCCCTCTGTGAACCAGTTACAATGCTATCTTTTATTGTGCGCACATAAGGCCGGTGAGGTAGATTATATGAAAAGCACAGGTATATTGGTCACTTAATGTTTAGAGGTACAGAATTAGCAAACAGTTTTTAGTTTCACAGACTTAAGTGAATTTTGAATTATACTCTTAAGTGGCAGAAAGTACTTTGCATTCTTCATTTTATTACAAATAAACTCTAAATAGTGCTGACCGAGTTCCAGTGACGGAGAAGTGTTGTGTTACACAGTGTGCTTCAAGTAGACTGCTCTACTAACAAGTAAAATCGCATTGTCTTGGCGGTGTGCTATAGCATCTGTAAGGTAAGTTTGTTGGCTCAAGTAACACAAAAGGCCTGTATAATTTGCTTGGGGCTGAGAGTATCGTGGTAGAAGTAAGTAGTATGATGCCGTTACTCTATAGACCTTGTTGTGTTTCGGCTTGGCAACTCTGACCGAGCAAAATCGCTTCTAAATAGGTGAAACACTCCATTTGAACTTTCACATCGCTTAGGAAATGCTTTTAACTTGAGGTGTGTAAACTAATTAATTGAGCCAAAGTTAACGTGTATTCTGAACGTTGCCTTTAATACACAAACCTGTAGAATTTTTTGTCAAATTGTACTTTTTCAGGATGGAAAACTTAATGCACCAATGAGGAAGGGTTTGAAAACTTCACAGAAATTCTACTGCTGTCCTATTGAAGGCTGCCCTAGAGGACCAAACAGACCATTTTCCCAATTTTCTCTTGTAAAACAGGTATTCCTTTTTTCCTGATTTGGTCCTGACTTTCTCCACTCCAGAGAGTGTATACTTTTGCGTTTAGATAAGAGCAAACCCCTCTCCAGCATCTGTCCAGAAGTTGGAGATGTGTATGGAGAAAATCCATGTGGGCATATATGGTTGGTGAATTTGCATGTTTGCATGTTAACGTTGGAGGACTTGAAGCTTTTTGTCAAGCAGACAGTGGTATGTCTTGCTAAGATAGAAGGCACCCCTTCTTCCCAAATTAGTAAGCTTGGAAAAGACTAAAGAGGAAAAAAAAACCCATCACAGTAGCAACTAGTCAGGGTTTAAGATTTGGCTGATACTTTTAAACAGCTTTCTAAGTGGGGAAGAGTTAAGAGTTTTTCTCTGCTTTAGTCTCAGAATGCACTTGTTTACAAGTTACCTGTTTAAGAAAGCATGTAAAACTTTTTTCTGTGTGAGTAAACATGTACTCCTCTGCTGTTGGTCACCTGTGATCACCCATGGAGACTGTGGGAAGTGGGTGACTAACACTTGGTGCCAGAAATTGTAAAGGAAAAATTCTGGCCTTTGCTCTAAAATTGACTTGCTTGATTTGGTACTGCTCACTCAGTTGTAGATCTTTAGAAGTATCCATTTGTTGCCATGTGTACCACTTACTGCTCTCTTCTGCAAGGTGCATCTTTAGCTTTTCTAATGTCAATAAGAAGCCCCCTATAGGATTAGGAGAAACCTCCTATAAGATTATGTTGCACTTAAACATTTATCTGCATTTTAAAGTGGTGGAAGCTGCTGGTATGATCAGGAGCCTCCCACTAGATCCATTTCCCCAGCTTGGAGAGCTAAATGTGGTATGAAATCTTGTGTGTACACAAATATTTGTACAAATGAAAACTTGTTAATTCTTATACTCCAGCTTTTTTCCTGTATTCCAACTCAGACAATGAAATTTTTCAGTCTTATGTTTTCTTAACTTGAAGGTATGTATTTTGAGATGCGCATAGCACAAGTAGATTTGCAAATTTTAAGCTCTTTAAGCTCATAACTTATTTCTCATGAGACTTTTCAAAAGATTCTGATTTCTAATTCTCTTCTTCAGTTATATTTAACATCTAAAATATTGCAAATGGCAATGTCTCCCGTAAAAGGTTTATTTAATTCAGCTGCAGACTGATGATTACTTTTCATTGTGTATTCTAGCACTTTATGAAAATGCATGCTGAAAAGAAGCACAAATGTGATAAATGTAGTAACTCCTATGGTACAGAATGGTACTTGAAACGGCACATAGAGGACTGTGGCAAGACTTTCCAGTGTACTTGTGGGTGCCCTTATGCCAGCAGAACAGCATTACTGTCTCATATTTACAGAACTGGCCATGAAATTCCTGCAGAACACAGGTAAAAGCGAAGCAGTAAAGTAATGCTGCTCGTATTCATCCCTGAGTCCTCTGTCTCCTATGTACTGCCTGTTTGTCCCTTTCCTGTTGACTAAAAATTAGCTCACGCTGTTTTAGCTGTAGAATTGTTTTCAGTTTCTTTGTTCTGTTGCTTTTAGCAGTTTCTGTTTTGTTGAAGGCAATGATGATTAATCAGTAAGTTCAGGTTTCCCCACGTATAAAAGAAGTACTGCCAGCAAGATAGTTACTGATGGCACCGCACTAAATAGCGTACATACTAGGGATTCTTGCTGGCACTGCTTTTAGTTTCATGAAAGTAGATACAATTTGGAAATGTTTACAGCTGGTAACTGTGGTGTGAAATACAGTTCAGTTTATTTTCTTTTATAGTTTAGTTAGCATCCAAACGAATTAAGCAATCTGATTTGAAGAGGTTTAACGTATAAAGGGAAACAAAAACTCTAAACCTTCACCTCTCTTTAGAACATAGGTCTCTGTAAAGCAGATAAGCTTTTCTTTCTTTCTTAAATAAGAGAGTGAGGAATAAATCCTATATTTTAATCGGAATTAGTGGTCTTCTCATTTTCAACGTCATTTGTGGCGTGGGTTCATATTTCCAATGCAGTGACTTGAAAGAATGGAAGGCAGATGTTTTGTGCTTGAAGAGAAGTATATTTGTAGAAGTATTATTGATTGAAGAGAAGTATTATTGATCTCATGTTCACAGGGATCCTCCTAGTAAGAAAAAGAAAATGGAAACCTCCATACATAATCAGCAGTTGACAGAGAAAGCAAATGAAGCGTTCATCAATGCACACAACAGTAGTCCTGTCACTCAGGAACTGGATTCATCTGAAGTGAAATTAGTAGCCCCTAAGCAAATGCAGCCAAAATGTACACCGAAGATGCTTTTACCAAAGCCCAAGGTGGCTTTGGTTAAACTTCCAGTGATGCAGCTTGCTCACTTGCCTGTATTTGTATCTGCAACAGACTCTTCTGTCAGACCTGTTGTAGTGGCTGTTGATAATCAAGGGTCAGTTATGAGTACTGTTCATTTATTGCCTCAATCTGTAGGAATTCTGATTCCAGCACTGGAGGCAGAAACACTTGTATTTAAAGACACTATGCCTGTTTCAAAAGTGACAAATTCTGGTGATAATGAGCCAGTAAGTACTGGTGTGCAAGTTGACTTGGATAAGGTTACATCAACTAACACAGGACAAGAGCTGGGGAATGTTTGTCACAAGAGTAAAATATCTTCCATAAATGTGCAGACTGACTTATCTTATATTTCACAGAACTTTGTACCAGCTGCAGCCTGGACTCCTGATTCTTCTGTATCCTCTTGCTCTCAGACAGATCTGTCGTTCAGTTCACAGGTGTCATTACCCATCAGTGTACAAACGCAGACACTGCTGCCTGCTTCTAAACTGACTTCATCCATAGCTGCTCAGACTGATGCTTTTAGTCAGGCTTGTTTTCCAACATGCGGTATTTCTAGAGAGACTCAAACCAATCGAAGGCAGAACTCTATGGATGGAAGAGTGCAAATGGACCAGGCCGTAATGTGCAGTGACATCTTTGACAATGTTCATTCGTCATACACTGTTTCCACTCAGATTGGACTTCCAGAGAACAATTTAATGGCTGCAAATATAGAGGAAACCTTGCTGCAAAGAAGTAATTGCAAGAGCTTGAATCAAGATACAGTGAAGTCAGAATCCCTTATCAGCTTCAATACACAGACTAATATACTTCCACCTCAAAATACAATGGATAATCAAACCCAGACAATGGACTTACTAAGTGATCTGGAAAACATCTTTTCAGGAAACATGTCTGGCCAGACGCTGGATAATCGTGGCCTTTTGTCTGACGCTAGTTCTAATGCTGACACACATCTGCCATCTGGCCCATCGCAGAGCACGGGAATAGACTTTGATATTGAAGAGTTTTTTTCAGCATCCAATATCCAAACTCAAACTGAAGAGAGTGAGCTTGGTACCCTAAACTCTGAGCCTGTTTTGGAGTCTCTGGACATCGAAACTCAGACTGATTTTTTATTTTCAGACAGCGCCACGCAATCATATAGCTGCAGAGGAAATTCTAACTTCTTAGGTTTGGAGATGTTTGATACGCAGACACAGACAGACTTGAATTTCTTTTTAGATAGTAATACCCATCTGCCTTTAGGCAGTATTCTGAAGCAGTCTAGTTTCTCCATGAGTACTGACTCATCTGATACAGAAACCCAGACGGAAGTATATCCTGCCACTAAAAATATACCTAGCCAGAACATAGAAAGCAAAGTCCAGTTGAATAGTGCCGAAACACAGACTATGGATAGTTGCTTTGAGAACCTTGGGAATTTATTCCTTACCAGCAATGAGACGCAGACAGCAATGGATGACTTTCTTCTGGCTGACTTAGCCTGGAATACAATGGAGTCCCAGTTCAGCTCCGTAGAAACACAAACCTGTGAAGAACTGTGCTCCTTGCTTCAGAGCTCTGACAAGTCCAGTCGTTGAGCGCTATGTAAGAGAACTGTTTCCTGTGGTGTGAAATTAAGTTATTGGGGTGGGAGAGATGGAGTGACCAAGTTATCCACTTTGCATTGTTGAATGTAGTTATCATGCGCAGTTGGCCTATGAGGCTTTTCATGCTGAAGGTACTCTATTGACTATGTAACTTCAACATAAACTAAGTGGGCATAAATGTGTGTGTTTGTTTCTTGTTTCTCTTTTTTTGGTAACTTGTTAATGTGCATTTGAACCTTAAACTATTGTAGTGCCTATGTTTTCTGCTCAAATTTCTTTGCAAAGCTGATCCTTGCTTTCATTTACACTGAAAAACTTTAAAAGTTTTCCCATATCTCTTTATTTCTGGCATACATACAGGATTCCAGTGTCCAGGACTAAAACCTGACCTGTCCAATTCAGATGCTTCTTCCCTGAAATTATGGGGAAGGATTCTCTTAGTGTAAGCTACTTTTGTTTACTTTTTTTAGTAGCTTGTATTTTAAATTTGGCATGGATATGCCAATATAAGCTGTACTGGCTTCTTTTACTCTATGCCTTCGCAGCTCTTACCTCTGTGTAAGTTGGCATTTTCCAAGCACCTGTCTGGATACACGTAGACTCTTGAATATTATTAAAAACATGTAGAAAGCAATAGTTGAGGGGCAAAAAAAAACCAACAAAAAAATCCCCCGAAAGTGGCACTGATGCCCCTTTGAAGGGTAGGAAAAGAACTTGGAATACACAGTTATAGGGAAAATTAGCATGCTGTCCTTGTAACTTGTGTACTAAAATATTTTTAGTCTTCAGGAGGGATTTACTGAAATTATTTTTGACTGTAAGACACTAATGTTAAAACGTATGTGCCTGAAAGACTGGAATAACTTGGCTTTACTGAAATTTCCCTAGCTCTATCAAGATACAGCTTGAGAAATCTTACAACGGTTTATACTACAATTACGTTAACAAAAATGTTTAAAAATGGGAAATTAAATTCTCTGAAATGCATCCTCACCTGGACTCCTGTTCTTGGATTTCCTGCTTCCAAAAAACAACTCCATTGGAACCTGTAAAAGAAAGCTGGGAAGCCCTTTTGGAAGAGGTGTATCCTGCTTTGCGCATTGGTCTGCAGCCCTCTGCAGCTTTTTGGAAAGCTTTCTGAATATAACCAAACTTAAACCGACTGATCTGTTGAAGCGAAACATATGACCTCTTGAATTATTTTTTTTCTTCATGTTCATCTTACCCCTTGTAGCAAGCTTGTGGTAGATGCAGTTGCATGAAAAAAAGTTAAGCCTGTTGTGATTGTAAGCTAGAATTTGGCCTTAACTCCTTTTTATCTCTTACTGTAATACCAGCAGAATGGAGGCCTTCAGTTTTGTCTTGGACAAGTTCTAGTTTTCATTACCTTAGATGACAAAAGCAACTTGTTGGTAAGCTCCTGGGCCTATAATAGACTTTGCTTTTCAATTTCTTTGTCTCATCCTACCGCTCTTTAAATCGTCATAGTTAAATCAATACTTAATATGGTTAACATTTAAATCAACTTAATATGGTAAGAATCTCTACTTACGCTTGAAACCGTCTCTGTAAATTAGCCCAGAAGCGTGTACCCTATTTTTCAGCATTTATAGGTGGGAGCTTGGAGACTTTCACAGTCTTTGGTTAAAGAAACTGCACAGCGGAACCTTGTAGTTCCCTCAGGAGTATAGTAATTTTGCTTTTGGTGAAAGGTGGTCGTCTTCCCCCCCACCACGTTTCTCAGTATCTGGATTTTCTGATCTTAAAAGATGGGGGGGAAACTTTGTTTTTAATGTCATATTTTCTGAACATGTGACCGATTCATATTTGCCTAACTACTTCCAAACTGAGAAATAAGATAAATGTCAAAATTGGGGTAATTTATTCTATTGCAGTATCTTTTTAGTAATGTTGCTGCTTTGGGTTTTAAAGTGTTTTTCTCTTCCTCTCTTCCCTGGCTGGAATACAAGAGAACGCTTCTTCATGCACAGGCTTCTGTGTTTTCGATGTACAAGTTGCCTGAACTGACATATGAAAGGGAAGCAGTTGTTACAAATCTGGTTCTTAGATTATTGCTTTAAAGGAAATTCACAGCTGGAGAGAACTGTATGTTTTCCCCAACTGTAGAAGGCAGAAGTGAGAAGTAATCTTCATTACTTATGAATTAGGAAGCCAGAGGCTTTCTGCCAGAGAAGGAATCTTAACTGATAAGGAGCATAATTACAGAAAGTTTCAGATTGTAGCTATCTGAGATGCTAGCTAGCTAGCATTTCAAAAACTTTGAAACTAATGTACAAGTCAGAATGAGAATCACCTTGTTTTTAACATGTAAGCCAAAGCTTTTAACATCAGTGACTGGCAGAAAAAATGTAAGGTTTGTATGGACACAGAATCTTAGAATGTGATCGTTACTCATTTATTCTATTTTGTAATTACATGTATTTATGAACTTCCTGTGTTCCATCTGAATACAAAAGTACCATTCCCCTCCCTCAGCTAAACTTTAATTAGGTTAACACAGTACCACAGCATGAAATTATGTAATGGAAATGCAGCGTTAAGAAAGCAGTTAAGCATACCTGCGTTGCCCTATGGAATTGGCTCGTTTGGACCAATCACAAATTTGATGTCCTGTAATTTGTTTGTAAAAGTCAAACAAAAATGGTAAATATATCGGAAAACGCTTTGGATTCTAGATTGCTGGTGCATGTGCTCATTTAGGATTTATCAAATATTTTTAAAGACTGCAGCCAGACTGTTCACAGTTCTGTGGAATCCCAGAGTGAACCTAATGAAGCTTGATATATTGTTGCTAAACACTCAATTCTTCAAAATTAAATGATTTCTTCTTTACAATAGCTAGTTTTCTGTTTTGGCCTTTGTTTTATAAAATTAACTTTAGTCAGAACTATTTCTTAATAGTATTAAACTGCAGAAAAAGGAAGATAAATATCTTGTCTGTGATGTGATTTTTCGAGGCACTGTCTCTATTATATGAGTCAGTAGTGACTTGTTATTTTCCTTATTCTTTTTTTATATGAGCAGTTTATCCTTTACTGCCATTTGAACAAAGATCTAGAGAAAGCAATATCCGTTTCTCCATAGCCTCTTCGCATGAATTTGTATTTAGAAGTGATAACTAATATTACCTGCCCTTACTCTTTGCACTTCCTGCTTAATCCTTAGTTATGTTGTGATGGTTGGATCTCTTATGCCCGTGTAATACTTCTCTAAAATTAAGTTAGTCGTAGTTTTGTAGGCTTATTTGAGCTTTTCTTTATTATTTAAAGAAAAAGTGAGTCTGAGATTTACTAATATATATCAACCTGCTGCTTCACCAAGTTCAGCCTTTTGCCTCGGGGAAAGATAGTAGCCCAGCACTTTAGAGAAAAACAGAAAATGCCTGTAGAGGTCGTTAACAAGTTGCTGCAATTGATAAGTCTGTTCTCGAAGACTTCACTGGCCTTGTGATTTGTTTGCTTGTCAGAAAAAGCTTTCCTCATCTCATGCATTAAGTTTACTGTGAGTTCAGCCTTACTGAGACTGTGGTATTCTGTTAAGAATTGGTCAGGAAAGATGAACTGTGCCATCTAATAGATCCAACTTGTTCTAAGTAATTTCAGAATAAACATGGTATCAGCCTCTTACAGTTCTCTGGATAGATGAAGATAAATATAACAGTGGCAGCCATACTAATAGAGTTTTTGTGATGTTTAAGAATAATACAATTGTGTAGACATTTAAGTTGTACACTTAAATTCTTAAATGTAGCTTTCTGGAAAAATGGATATATTTTATGCCTGTTTGGTAGAGTAGTGCAGTGGCAGATGTGAGCCTTCCTTGGCTATTTGCACACGTGTGTGTGTGTGTGTGCAAAGTTGAGTAGATTGACTTGAAAATTTTGGCTTTTGAGAGAACGCTGATTATAATAAAGGGTAAACACGTTCTGCTTTCAAGGTATATAGAAAAATCAAACAAGAATGAAATATAAACAAATCTGGGATGCATTCCGTTCACAGTCTATGAGAACATAAGCACAGAGCAACTGAAAAATGAGGTCTGTCTTGTTGCCTTCCATGTCTGTCACTTCATGCTAAAAGTTTGTTTAACAGTGGATGTATGTTTCTACTTATATTTGCATCTATTTCTGCTAATATGCTTGTAAATGCTTCTCCCTGCTTTGGTAGGGAGGGAATCGTCCCTCTCAACTCCTCATTGCCAGCCTAAGAGATATCTATAGTTTAAAGTCAGAGTTTATTAACTCCATATATTCTTAGCTATGCAAAGTTGTGTCTAGAAAATTTCCCTTCAGAAGCGTAAGTAAGTTAAACAACTATAAAACAAGCCTTGTGAAACCTCTTGATTTTTAACAATTCAATCAGCGTCTGTAACTTAACAATGTACTTACCTAACAATTCTTAACACAATTTCATTCATAGGTGCACTCTTGATTGTTTTTTTTCTATTGAAAACAGAAGGCTCAATTTCCCTGCTACCCATGTGTACCTTGACAGCGCAGAGGCAACAGAACCAACTTTCCTATGAACAAAGATAACTGCCTTCCACTGTTTTCAAACCTTATCCTGCTAACACATGCTTACACGCTTAGAGTCAGATGTGAATTGATTTTGGTGGGACTAAGTGAAGATATGTATATGTTGGCAGGATTCAGACCTAACTTTTTTTTTTTTTTAAATAACCTTTCAAACATTGGGTAAGTAAATTATAAGACTAATATAATTGCATACTGAATCAATATAAGGTGCTCAACTTGCAAAAGAATATTTGTTATTGAAATGACAACTCAGAGGTGAACCAAACATTTATTTGCCTTTATCATTAAGGTTGTATAGCTTCCTTTGCTTTAACCTATTTTTGATTTTTTTTTTTAAAAATGTGATCTTAATGTACAATTTACTGTTCCAAATACAGTCACACCAAAACATTGCAAACATTGTGGGCCTTGCAGCTTTTTCGTTCATGTTTGTTATAAGGTGCTGCTATGCTTGTGTTTCTAATAGAATAGATCTACTGTAAACAGGCTTCCATTTATGATTTTATATGAACACTATGAGGCTAGGGTTGTTCAATGGTAGGAAGCTGCTTTTCCAATGCATTGTGCAAACTTGCAACTTCTACTTTTTTTTTTTTTTAAACGGTTGATGTGAATCTAAGTTTGCGTGTTTGAAGGATTTGCTGCTTAGAGCATGACTGAATTTTCTTGTTTAAAATGTCATTGCTATGCAATGAACAGAATCAAGGAGCCATGTCATTCAACTCTGTATTGCCTTGCAGTCAGGTTGATGTTAGGTTTGTCTTAGTGTATGCGACTTCCACATCACTGACAAACGTAATTGGAGAGCCTTGAAATAGTGGAAATTCCTGAAGGAGCTGCTGATCTTCAGTTAAACAACACAAGTCCTTTACTTCTGATTCCTTTTCATATACTGTCTTTTAAGCAGTATCTTCCACATAACCAGCAATGGAATATAATAGATGACTTGTGATGATGTAAACTGCAGCTCCCATTTCACCGTGAGTAATGCTTTACATGCATGCTCCAAGCGCTCGCATGCAGAGCTAACTTGACCGTGCTTCTATGTACGCAGTACTTACAAGTGCATCTGATAAAATAAAGCTAGATACGAAAGATAGCCATATTTTTCAGCTTACAGAATTGAACACCTGATTATGATCTAATTTAAGCTTTTAGTTATTTGGAATGGATGAGTAATAAGACTCACGGGAGAGTCTTTCCCAAAGCACGTGTGAGCCAATCTCAATAAGGCTGAGAAATGTCCTTCAGGTGTTTTTCGTCTCATCGCTGTTGAGATTTTCACCTAGTGGAGAAATTTAGTTTCCAAAGGATGTTCGTGTTTGAGTCTTGCTATTTAAGCCAATAAACTTGCAATGAACAGAAAAAAGCATTTCTTATACCTATTTCTTATACCTGTTCATTTCTTATACCTATTTTACAAGTGACAATCCCAAAGAAGGAATGTTGTCTTAATAATTGTGAAATTTTTAGTTATGTTAATGCATGCAAAGAAAACCCTGTGCCAAAATACTGTTTCATATGTCCCTCCATTGGAACCTGAAATGTTACATTAAAGCTACTAGAAAGTTATTCACAAGTGTTGAGACATTTTGTTCACCAGTGAAGCACTTCTTTACTCCTGTAAATTATACCTATTTTGGAATAAAGTCAACTTCAATCTCTTTTTGTCTCCTGTTTTAATGGCTGTGATCTCCTGCCTACAGAGGCATGGGTAGGGTATACGGTGGCTATTAGCAAGGGCCATCCATCACTCCTTAACATCTTATCTTCTGAAAGCTAGGTATCTTTGGAATTAGTAGAGTTCTTGCAATCTAAAACTCTGAAGTCAGTCTTTGATCTCCAGAGACTGCGAAACACTCTTTTGCAATGTAGTCCTACTTATCAATGAGTTATCGGAAGTTTACACTTAGAACACAAATAGCATCTTGTTAAATCTGATTCTATCTTTCATAAACCTGAAATAAACCTCCATTAGGGAGGTTCTCCATTTTAAGTGAACCTATGCATAGACTCTGGTACTGAATTGCATGTGTACAGATAGGGCTGGATTCTTTCGACTAGTAGCATTCAGGCTGGCTGCACTTTGATGCTCCATCCCAAAGCGCTCAGCAGTGCGTGCGTAGAGAGACAAGGCTTTCACAATGAAAATGTTAATATTTAATTAGCTTTTATGCAAGATGGATACCTCTAGAGTTTCAGGTCGCTGACAGATGCCTTTCCTCTGCAATAGACCCTCAGGAGGGAAGGACTGCTTTGTATTCTTCCTCCATCTTACCAACCATCCTCCCTTAATTTTCAAGAACTCTAGAGTCATAAGTAACATCAGGTAGAAACTCAATGGTATTATGCTGATTAGTTTTCAAAGCACCCCACTAGAAAACTTCAGTCCTATCTAATAGTTTGTATTGTTTTGCAACATTTTATATAACTGATAAAATTTTTACAACTGTGAATATAAACAAAGCTGGGCTAGGTTGATTTGGAGTATGGATGATGCTTTGTCCCCTTTTATCCTGTGCAGTCCCTATGCTTAATCCCATTCTTTTTCTGTTACTTAGAGGATACAAAATACTGGTTCTTACTCTTACCCTGAGTAAGAATCTTGTCAACTTCCATATTAATTCGGAGTAGGTGAGTGAGCAGATGCTCAGTGACTCGAAGTTCATCTCTACTGTTGCAGTGGCTACATTCGAGACAACATTCCCTGATGTAGAGCAGGCTGCTGGGTTTGTGCTCTGGGTAAATATTCGCATAAGGCAGCATTCAGTCACAGTGGTCGCGAAATATGGAGGATGCTTCCAGAGAAGCATTAAGTATCTAGAAACTAAATTCCTGTTCAGAGCATTTAAAACCATCTTTGAAAGAGTCATATGAATAATATACTGACTGTCCTTATAGAAATGAAATAGTCCTATTCCTGTTACAGGAATGACGTTCTGCTTAGATTAGACAGAGTTATTTCAGGTTTTGGATTATTCAGATAAGCATATTTGGCCCATGAACGAAAAGTCCAATACTTTGACAGATTGGCCTCATGAAACTTTCAGAAGTGGCTGGACAGTCTAAAAGGCAAGATAGAATTTTGAGTCTTGATTGTTGAGAAAGATAATGGCTGTTTAGAGATCAGTGAAGGCTCGTGTATTTTTTGAACTGCTTTTTTGTGATTTTGCGAATAATTCTGTTATTTCTTCTGTTGGCAATGAAACCATCCCTGACTCATTTGCGTTTGGATCTCGAATTTCCTTCACTTAAAGAAACTGCATGCTGGCAAGCAGATTGTCTTCTGTCAAAACAATGGAATTAAAGATAGAGGCAGATTTTCTATCTGGCTCAGGGATTTGCTGCCAGTGACAGTGAGTCCTGTGGAATGAGTCCTCTGGAAGTTTGAACCTAAAACAAAGGGAAAAAGGAGGTTGCTGATTTAACTTTTGGGTGTTCCATCATTATATTATTATAGTGTTGTCAACAATTCCCCTTTGATTTGCTTGGCTTTGGCACCTGGAATACAGGAAGCACTTTCAGCTGCTGTAGCACTTAAGTTTATTGCCTTCCCTTGAATAGGAATGGCTTCATTCTGAAAAGAAGAATCTAAACGTAAATGAGAAGCTGTTGTTTCCTGTGGTAGAAGAACCAGTGTCTACAAGGTCACATAATGTCATTAGGATTACGATGACTGAAGTGTTGTGAATTCAGTCTTTTCTGTTCTAGGCCTTTAGTTGTCAGTTTTTCAATTTGCCTTTTATTGTATTTCTTTCTTGGAAAATTCTTATTTTTGTCCCCGAATGTAAGCAGAATGCAATTTGCCATGATCTCTTTCTTTAAAGCCATTTTTAAAGTCAAGGGAGCATAATGGAAAGGTTTGCTATAATAGGCTAGAGATGTTCCCCTCCTGGAAACGCTATTTCTTGCAGATTTGCTGGAGGCTATCTTGCAGTTAGTTTTCAATTGATCTCTTGTAACTTTAGTTGATGGGGCCAAGTCTCCAGGAGCTGCTGGAAGCATGTTTATGAGAGGATGTAAGTAACAATTTCGTCTGCCAATATTTTTTGGACTTATTTTGTACCTGATAGCAGATGAAAGGAGCATCTCTGCCCAAGCTTTTTACCTGAAACACAAAGTATAACAGGTCTATGTTAAGCATTAGTGGATTTTTCCAACAGTGAAAAATAATCACCTGTACCCTAAGCCAGTGCATTAATGAGCTCAACACAGGTTTTCACATTCTTTTTTGGACCAAACGAGTTAAAATGATTATTTTTTTATAGCCTCTGTGAATATTTTTCAGTTCTTTGGAGAAGTTCTAAATTTGCAGTTTACAGCTATTTTCACACATGTTCGTGAACTTACACCAAAGAGTCCTATTTCACAGGTCTTGTAGCAATAATCCAGAAGTATGACTTTGAAGCATCATCTTGTGTGTTTGTAGTAAAAACTCTTCCTTCTAATCAAAACAGATTTGACAGTTTCAAAAAATCTTAGCAAAAATCTTTATCTGGTATGAAACACTGAAAAACATGGAAATAAAGTTTATAGTTTTCCCTGTGAATTCAGGTTTTTTCCTGTAGTCTTGAAGAATTTACCGTCTGTCTGCAATGGCTGCAATTTGCAGTTACTATAATGAACATGTTTGGCTTTGCTCCCTTTAAGGTGATAAAGCAGTTCATTGTTCAGTTTTCACACTGAAGAAGCAATATATTCAGTTGCTTGAATGGAAGAGACCATCTTCCCTCCTTCCGAACTACGGAAATTGTTATTAATTTCACGGGCGCATGTACATTTAAATTTTCTTCCTAGGGGCCGGGAGAAAGGAAACAAGTATGTATGCACTTGGATGCTTATTTTGGGGCTATTTGTGAAGGACCCTTCTCTTGTGGAGTATGCATCTTGTATCCGAATACGAAGGACAGGACAGGCAAGGACATTAACTTAGGGTAAGAGTGAGGGAGAAAGGAAAGGGGACAAAGAAGGGAAGAAAACTTTATGCTATTGTGAAACCTTAGGCTAAAGTGAAAACCTTATGCTATTGGGAGTCTTGGACTGATACTGTCTTT